GTCAATCCTAACGCTTTATTGGCGTATAATATGGCAAAACCTATCATACACTCGCTTGGGTTTTCTCAAGCTTCCTGGAATATCAATTATGACCAACAACGGCCAATGTACAGGAAGGGAGGTTGAGGGACAAAATACAAACACGTTTTTAAAGAAATAAATTAAATTAAAAAATAAAATAACAGAAGACAAGAGCCATAATTATAAAATAATATAAATGATTCATTTAGTACTGTAGACTCCTTTATGTGCTTAAAAAGGTCAGTAGAGAAGTATACACTTGCGTGGCCATGTGTGTTTTGAGAGTCTATGTGTGGCCCTGTGCCCGGGTGTATGTGCGCTTGGGATGGGGGAGAGAAGGTGTCGTTGAGGTTCAAGGAAAGAAAGAAGAACAGACAAAGAAACCAATTAGATGGAATTAAATATGTTCATTTGAAGCTCTCATTCATTCGGGATGGCATCAGTGGCCCGTGCCGATGCTCTTAAAGACCCCGGGAATCCCTATTCGCGAACCCCAACCCCCAATCCCACCAGAGGCAGGGGGGTGTCGCGATATGGCACCCCGAGATTTTTCGCCCTAACGATGAACCACCTGGCTACCTCCAGGAACGCCAAAGTGGTAGCTTCCTTTAAAATTTGACCTTACTTAGTAAAGATTACTATGAATGCTACCACCTCCCCGGGGGAAAAACGTAATTCTATGTCTTCTGGCCAACGTATATTGGGGGATCTTCACTGTTGCCTTCTTGCAAAGTTTAACCCAGAGCTGTCGACCACTGTAGATCCTACTAGTGTTAAATTCTAAAGCACTCCATTGTACGAAGAACTATCCAATAGTCGCAAGAATTAAAAAAGGCAGACTGCATTGGACCCTCACCTCTTGGACGGAACAGGAGACCTGAGATTGCAGAGCAGCAAAAGTTACGTACACGCAGAAACGAAGGGACAGACGGCTCACCGGTCGACCAAGGCTGAGATGGCATGACGATGTAAAGGACTTGCACTAGTTAGGGGTCCAAGCTTGAAAGTGGAAATCCATACAACGATTGGACTGGAAGGTTGTGGTGAAGCAGGCCAGTGCCCTATACATGGACTGTAGCGCACCTGATGACGATGTTTGGGCACTCCTATCATGTGCCATAAACCCTATAGCTCCTATCATGTGCCCTAAACCATAGCTCCTATCATGTGCCCTAATTCATAGCTCATATCATGTGCCCCAAACCCTAGCTCCTATCATGTGCCATAAACCATATAGCTCATATCATGTACCCTAAACCCTAGCTCCTATCACGTGTCATGAACCCTGTAGCTCCTATCATGTGCCCCAAACCCTAGCTCCTATCATGTGCCATAAACCATATAGCTCATATCATGTACCCTAAACCCTAGCTCCTATCACGTGTCATGAACCCTGTAGCTCCTATCATGTGCCATAAACCCTATAGCTCCTATCATGTGCCATAAGCCCTATGGCTCCTATCATGTACCCTAAACCTTAGCTCCTATCATGTGTCATGAACCCTATAGCTCCTATCATGTGTCATGAACCCTATAGCTCCTATCATGTGCCATAAACCCTATAGCTCCTATCATGTGCCATAAGCCCTATAGCTCCTATCATGTGCCATAAACCCTATAACTCCTATCATGTGCCATAAACCCTATAGCTCCTATCATGAGCCATAAACCCTATAGCTCCTATCATGTGCCATAAACCCTATAGATCCTATTATATGCCCTAAACCATGCCCTAATCCCTAGCTTCCTATCATGTGCCAAAAACCCTATAGCTCCTATCATGTGCCCTAAATCATAGGGGGTAATAAGGGGAGAGACTGCAATCAGGTTAGTACAAAATAAAATGAGTAAAACAGAGTATGGTTAAACCTGAAAAATTAAACGTAACAAAACAGCGAACGTGTCGGCAGAAAGCCTTCGTCAGCGAACAAAAGACTTCGCCACACTTCTATTGCTGCCCACAGATACTACTCACCAGCTAAGTGCTATTTCTTATTTTTATAACGTTTTTTCTGTTGTTTTGTTCGCTGACGAAGGCTTTCTGCCGACACGTTCGCTGTTTTGTTACGTTTAATTTTTCAGGTTTAACCATACTCCGCCCTAAATCATAGCTCTTATCATATGCCCGAATCCCTAGCTCCTTTCATATGCCCCAAACACTAGCTCCTATCATGTGCCATAAAACATATAACTCCTATCAAGTGCCCTAATCCCTAGCTCCTATCATGTGCCCTAATCCCTAGCCCCTATCATGTGCCCTAATCCTTAGCTCCTATTGTGTGCCATAAACCCTATCTCCTATCATGTGCCCTAATCACTAGCTCATATCTTGTGCCAAAAGCCCTATCTCCTATCATGTGCCCTAAACCCCATTTCCTATAATCTTTTGCTACTTTTTTCGCCACATTATCCGTGTGGTGAGCCGGATTTATGAAGGTGTGGACCAGGTTTTCTAGGTCAACTCCAAGGACCTATTTCACCTAAGCCGAAGGCTGTCATGATTGGTAGACTGCAACAGTAGCACGGGTGATAACTGGAGCTTTCACTACATTTTTAGTACTACCATCACATTACCACAAATGAAATGGAGAGGACAGGTTTTTAAATTTATTGCAAAGCAAGCTTTATATTTCGTCTTTATTTCAAGATACAGAAAAGACACGTTAAAAGAATAAATTACTTAGACACACGGAGTAACGGACGACAATTACGACGCTTCCGCCATTCCCTTCGCTAAGTTCTAAAAATGAAGTCGCACCAAGTCATAACACTGCTCACTGCGCTCGCTTTTAGGCATTTGTTTAGGGTCAAGTCAAAATCTCTGGGTAAATGGAGAACACCGGAGTAGCTGGAGTTTGTGACGCCTGGGGTGGTAATGGGCTCTGCTGTCCACAATTGACAAAAAGTAAACAACGCAAAGTATAACAAGTGGACCGACAGTACAGCCCAAAAGTAAGTATTTCACGTGGCGGACCACCCCTCAGCCCCCCTCTTCCTACACCTGTGACAGTAAGAAAGGTTAGGATCAATTTTTGTATCAGTAGAGACATCCGTGATGAGACTGAGGAAATAGAAAGTACAAGGTGTGTATAGAAAGCTTTAAGGAAAAAAGAAAAGATAAACATTAAAAAAAACAACAAACATTTATAGGCTTAAAGCCTTTCTGGGTGAAAAATAATAAAGATTCTCAAATTTAACCGCATATAATTGTAATATTCAAGGGTGATAAACTCTCAAGATTGTGTCATAATACTAAACATTCATGGGCTCAATGACGTCACGTATTATTTTTTTCTCCATTTTTTCCTTACTTTTCTTCTAAATTATAGTCGATATTTAGCCTAAAATACTGCCAACGTTTTTCTCCAGCACTCTTGATTAAAATAATAAATCATGAAAAATTAATATTTGCCTTTGCGTCTTTATATATTATCCCGTCCCGAAATAAAACAGGGTTTTCCTTGATGCAGGCCTGAAAACCACCCCATCCACTTTTCCAAAAAGGGGAATATATATATATATTATATCGTAAATGTACGGAGTGATCATTTTTATTAGGCAAACAAATAACGACCTATTTAAGAAGCAAACATATTTCTATTACTTGTTTTATAAGCACCCCCCTCCCCCTTTTTTGTTTTGTTTTGTTTTTGTTTTGTGACACATAGTTTCACCTATACTTCACCATCGTCATCCATGTTGGGGTCAATGTTCACATAAACTCGACAGAATATTTTTTTATTTTTTTAGGAACATTCGTACTGCAATGATAGTCGTCATCTGTGTTGGCTAGGGTCCAGGTCTTAAACAAGTTCTGCAGATCAGCAAGTCAGACTGCTCACGCTCAGGTGAGGCATGGATGCATCACAAAGGTTAGCAGACAGACATCATAATCGGAGGGGAGCAGACATCGGGGATGAGTAATAGACTCGTCGATCCTCCAAACCAGTGGTGTGCAAATATTTTTGGTGCACACTTTTTTGGTGCAATTTTTAGGTGCATCCCTCGTGGATTAAAAAACAACAACATATATATTACAATACAATTCCAATCCACGCAACAACAAGTTTCAAGGACCCAACGTCTGCGAGTCTCGAGGCTGCGAGGGAGAGATGTCTATTCAGAGCATGCTACAAGTGAATAACACTCTCCACATTATAGAGCACGGTTTCCCAACCTTTTCTACATTCTGCACCCTTTACGAATGGTTTTACTTAGTCTCGCACCCTTTACAGCAGTAATAATGCATTTTAAATTGCAAATCAATTATTTTTTTATCGCTTTTCTTTGCACTTCCTGAACTATCACCTCGCACCAGAGCCGTTCTTGGGCATAGTTAAACTAGGCGACCGCCTAGGGCCCCACTGCCAAGGGGGCGCCGGGCGCTTTTTTTTTTAAAGCCTACAACTTGCAAGTCCATATATTCCAGAAGCACAGATTTTCTCTTGTGGCAGAATTATCAATATGGTTAGTGGTTACACGCGAGCAAAGAGGAAACATTGATGAAGGCAGAATGAAGGTGTCGCAGTGGAGGGTGGTGTTTTTTCCTCAGCTCCGGAGGAGACCCGTCTCCCGGGCCCCCCTTTCCGGGGCCCCTAACCTACGCTCCGTGCCTGGGGCCCTCAAAATTCCGAGAACGGCTCTGCTCGCACCCACTGGGGCTGTGAGCACCACAAGGTTTGGAAACCGTTGCTATAGAGATGCGAGAAGCGCTTTAACATTAAAATGTATCTTTTCAATTAACAGTCATAATTTTTTCCACAGGAACTAAAGTTAAAATATATTCTCAGCACGAATGAAGAAGGGCAATGTCATCAAGGAACAACGTAGTTCGATATGGTATGGATCTCAATTTATTTCTTAATGTTTTAGATTACTTAAATGTATTTTTAAAATATTTATTTGATATGGGTGCGAATGCCGTGGAGGGAGAAGGGTGAGGCTGTTAAAACTGGTAAAAGAAGAACAAGGAAAAATTTCAAATTTTAAGGTTTATTAATTTATTATTTAGATAAAACAAAAACAAAACAACATATGCATAACAAACAAAAGGTGAAATCAAATGTTATACAATTAATGTATTACAAATATACAAATAATAAATGCAATTGTTTTTAAAATGCACATGTTGATGATGGGATCAATGACATCATAGATTTGTTCTTTCTCTACCAAACCTGTCGTAAAGATTAAAAGCCCAAGAGATGTACATTGAAGATATAAAAAAAAAACAAAAAAACCCAGACTTGTTAACTAAGCCAAAGTTCAGTCAGAGAATCAAATAAATCAAATCAAATGACGTGGTGGCCCGACTATTTCCTGTTAATAATTGAAACCAAAAGATGTTGAGTAAACATTTAACTCTCCTGAGTTTTGAAAAAAGGCCATGTCATGTGGTGAATGAGACAAAGAAGCTGGATTACGTCATGGAAAAAAAATGTTTTTTTCCTCGCACGAATCCAAAGTAAACAACTTTAAAAATCAATCAGTGAAATAGTAAAATATAAAAAAAAATGCTTGAAATCTATTTAAAAACAACACCATCAACAAGGGAGTGTTACGTTTATTCTGCGATATATTAACTCGGAGGATCTCAAACTGCCCTATGGGTAACGTGGAAATATTTTGTTGTCCCAACATATAATCTCTATTAAGAGTTTTGACAGCACCAGGTATATTTGAAAAAAAAAAGAAGAAAAAAAAAACCGAACTGCTTTGTGGGCTGCATTGGGTAATCAAATTTGAAGCCGCATGAATGAATCGAGAGGCCTGTGAGTTGGAGTCCCCTGAATTAAATGGACACAGTCAGAAAATATTATTTACATCTGATTATTTCCGGGTTAACAAAAGTATTATGGGTCGTCCACAATTGACGTTACACAACTTAAAGGAGAGACAGGCAGACAGATGGAGGTCGGGTGGGCTGTTCAAGAGTTATGGCCGAGAGGGGCTATTGAAGACCGTTGAGGGAATATGACATCGAGCACCACAAAAATAGCAGTGTCTAGAATTGGAGCATAAGAATGAACTAATTAAATTCTAAATATTATTTTTTTTTAAATAAAATAAAATCAGCATCAGACAACGCTCTAATATGTGACGTTGAATCAGACAATGTTCTAATATGTGACGTTGAATCAGACAACGTTCTAATACGTGACGTTGAATCAGACAATGTTCTAATATGGGACGTTGAACCAGACAATGTTCTAATATGGGACGTTGCGCAGACATAATTTTAAAAAAAAATGAGGTCAATAATTTAAAAAAAAATGAGTCTAATATTTTTTGTTATAAAAAAAAATTGCAAATGAAAAATGTGTGAATAGAGATGCAAGATATATGTTTCTTCATACTATATAGTTTTAGTTTATTACATTCTTTTAAATGGGGATTTGATTTTAAAAATTAATTAAGGTGGGGGGTTTGGAGTGGGGTGGATATAGCGGATAGTCAAGAATAGTGGTTCTCAACCTTCCTAATGCCGTGACCCTTTAATACAGTTTCTCATGTTGTGGTGACCCCCAAACCTAAAATTATTTTTGTTGCAACTTCATAAATACGTGTTTTCCGATGGTCTTAGGTGACCCCCGTGTAAGGGTCGTTCGACCCCCAAAGGGGTCACGACCCCACAGATTGAGAACCGCTGGTCAAGAGGATCCAGACATTGCGTGACGACATGAGTGAACGACCCTATACAACGATACAAAGATCAGGGGAATGCAAGAAACACCAATAATGTTGACATTTTAAAAAAGTATCAAAAGTATTTTCTGAAAAAAAGCAACAACAAAAAAAAAACAATAATCTTTATTATTAAAAAGAGGCTCATATATTTAAAATTTGTTTAAACGACGGAGCGATAAGTTAACCCCCCCCCACCCACTCACCCCGAAAAAACAACAACACTATTTCCAATCTCTTATTGCTATGCTATCGGCCCCCGGTAAGTGTTGCCGGAAAATTAGCTAGTACTTTAGATCTAACCGATAATTTTCAGACCACTAACTGCTTTCAGTTAACTAGAAAATCTAAAAACAAATTATAACTATGATCATAATATAACAGATAACATAAACAATACGATCATTTCACTATGCAGACAAAAATAAATAAATAGAAAATAAAGAAATACAAACAGCAAACAAAAATAATGAAAGATAAAATTCTGCGGTCATAAGCAAAGGGTACTTAATTACAATATTTACATATTTTCACGTTCTTCAGAGGAGATGATCCTTAAGGCCTTAACAGCCAGTGGCGTAACTAGGGTTAGTGCTTCCCGGGGTGGGCCAAGCTTTTTACCGCCCCCTTTCATGCTAAAAAAAAAAAAAACCCTTTGCAGTTGGCTAAAAATGCCGCCCCTCAATTTAAAGAAAAAAAAAACAATGCCACCTGGGGCGGACCGCCCCCTCTGCACCCCCTTCATACGCCACTGTTTACAGCACATCACATTCGCAAGCCCTACCATTTTTTCCCCCTTTTATGCGTTTGCTAATCCATTCTCTTTCTTCTTCTCTCAACACACTTCTCAGCACGACTTCATCTCTGAGTTCCTATTGCTTGATCCTTCGCTCTATTACCCCTTCCTTATATTCATCTATGAATCGTTTTTCTCTCATTCTCGCCATGCTTCTGCTTCTTCATACGTCACTTTCGTCACGCTCCTTCTTCTGCCCTCCTTGCCATGTGCGTATTCTTACGTCGATGTAACCGTGTGCGTATTCTTACGCACTCCTAGACATGTGCGTATTCTTACGTCGCTCAAGCCAAGCCCCTTCTTATGTCACTCCAGCCGTGGCCCCCTTTGCCCTCTTGCGTCATTCTTGTCACGCCCTCCTTCACGCACCACGTCCAGAATTCTCACCATAAAACCAATCAATTCTTCGCACTGACTGGACTGTACAAAAGAAACCTCAGAAAAAAACCGTCCGTATAATACATGGTTCAGTGAGTGCAGTGTACAGTTTCACATTATTCGTAACAATTTTCACACAAGTGGTACATATTTTCATGAAAAAAAATACATTACATCATTATAAAACAACTAGGTGAAGTTTACTGAAGGGAAGAATAAACGAAACTATATTCATACATCATGTCTAAGTGTTGGGTTGCTCAGAAAATTGTAGGAAACTACTGCTCTCTTCGCTAACTTATAATATGAGAGTCATTATATATATAGACTATATATATGTGTATGGTGCATGAAGACCTAAAGAAATATAAGACAGAATTCGGTAAACGTTTTATAAATATGTGACATCTGCTAGTCATTAAATTTAAATGTCAGTTTTATAACGAAGTCCTCATCGTAACACCCCAGATAACCGTCTAGCATAGAGTGTTTCCAAATTCCTATTTGACATCTCTAAACTTTAGGCCAACGCTAAGCTCCGGGGATCCCAAGCATTTAGCTAAACTTTCACATTTGTTCCACCCCGCCTTGTTTACACCACCACCATCTCCCCTATCTAAGTCCAACCCAATCTCCACTAACACTCCAGTTCTCAGATCAACAGACTACCGGGTGCCCTGTTTGGCATTAAACCAATGGAAACGAATGTTCCAATCCTCAACCATTTTGCAGAATAATATACATGTATATGTTTACAGTCACAGACATTCGAAGGGATTAAAATGATTAGCTTTAAGAGCAACTCCGTGGATCTTGTTCTTTTTAATGACTTGTTTACTAGTTAATTCAAAAGAGCAACCAAAAAAATCTTGCTTTTTAATCATCGTAATTAAGTATTATTTATATTTTCGGACTTTAGGCTTTGCAAATAATTTCAATAATCTAAGCGCTAGTATGTGCAGTACGGGGTGTACACAATTAGAGGCTTACCCAGGACTTTGAGGAAAAGGTCAGAAGTCTAATCTTGAAGGTGACCCAGTGACATACATTATCTTATATGCGGTCATTGGCGTTTAGGATACGCCCCCCTCCCCACCTTAATTCTCCCCAAATAAATATTCGATGGAGTTGAAACCACACAAAAAGTTCACCGCTAGATGTTCACTAGTGTGAGGTGTTCACCGCTAGATGTTCACTAGTGTGAGGTGTTCACCGCTAGATGTTCACTAGTGTGAGTTGATGGTGGAAAAATAAATTGTTTAGCTGAAAGTAATCTAAATCTCAATTGTCGAAACACGTTTTTTTTCTTTCTTCCGGCCCAGACTCAAGCAGCGGTGTGCTGTTGGTACTAGCTCTATCCGGTTTGGGGGGCGAACCGGTAGTGATACCTTGACTATTCTTGCAGATTCGATTGTTAAAATATCATTATAAATTTAAAAAAAAAAAAAAAAATTAAACATGGAAAAACCCTACAAATATTTTAGCGGTGAGACGGTGAGTGCCAAGGGAGCATTAAAAAGACAAGGGGAAAAATATGTACACACATTTTCTGAGGACCATCTCTGCACTCACAGAAGGACAATTATGTTTTTTTTCTTTTCCCAAACGATTTATAATGATAATTATAGATCAAAAGCTTAGATTTCGCAATGCCATTAACCTAAACGCAGATGTCACAACTTGCAACATAAGCGCAATGATCGATTTCTTACGAGATCTCCTGTGACTTGCATGCGGCAAGTCTGAGGCGATGAATAGCACGATATTACATTTTGAGTCCAGTATGACAGAAGCCACGTGGTTCATGGGGGGACATGTTTCAGGACAACAGCTGGAGCTATTCAGCTGGCATATCGCGTCATTACCTACTCTCAGTTGCATTTATACATTTTCGTTAAAGTTATGATTTTCTATATAAAACAATTATTGTTTTTTTTTCTTTTTTTACTTTTTTACTACGATCACTCTAAGTTAGCGCGCCGGACTCGACCTTCGCGGACTTTCCTCTTCACTCCGCTGCTCCCAAAGGTGGAAAAATAGTCCCAGTTGCAGGAACGCATGCTGCCGCAGGCCTTGTTCTCTCTGAGCAGAGGGCAGTTCGATCCACCGTTCTGAGGGATCTGAACAACTTGCCGCGTTCTCTCTTGTGTCCCGAAGCTACACGAGACGCTGCAAGGGCTCCACGGCGCCCAATCAGCCACCTCACAGTTAATGACAGCTTCCACTGTGGAGAGATTAAAAGTATTGTTATTATGTTGCCCCTTAAAAAAAGACCTAACCCCCCCACCCCTAACATTTCACGTTCTTAGTGCTTCAGAACTAACCACAGAGGCGGACCTACGGGTTGTTTAACGGAGGGCAGCAAGGACCGCTCCCACATCCTCTCCCTCCAAAAAAAGACCTAACCCCCCCCCCCCCTAACATTTCACGTTCTTAGTGCTTCAGAACTAACCACAGAGGCGGACCTACGGGTTGTTTAACGGAGGGCAGCAAGGACCGCTCCCACATCCTCTCCCTCCATCCGCTCTTTCTTCTATATCTATCGGCAACTCTGACATCACACTCTCTTCCTCTGCCAGAAACCTTTGAGTCACGCTTACAGACACCCTCTCCATGGACAAACATGTCACGAACATATGCAGATCAGCATACAACGAAATTAGAAAAATCAGCACCATTAGACACCTCCTCGTCTTTGATGCCACAAAAACTCTTGTCTCTTCACTCATTCTTTCAAAATTTGACTACTGTAACACTCTTCTCGCAGACATTCCTCAACACCACATAGAACTTCAGAAGACACAGAACTCAGCATGCAGACTCATTTTTAAATCAAAGAAACATGACCACATTCAACCACACATGCGGCAACTCCACTCTGAACTGTTGCTTCCTGACCCCCCCCCCCAGACAACTACGCTGTTCAATTGAAAATAGACCCTCTCAATCCCAAGAACCAAAACTAAGACCATCGGTTAACGCTCCTTCTACTCCCATGCGCCCACGTTCTGGAACCAGCTCCCCTTCCACATCCGTCATTGTGAAACCTTGTCCACTTTCAAAAAGTCCCTTAAACCCATCTGTTTAAGTCCGCCTTTGACCTGTGATGTACCCTCCTTGCCCTGCCTCATTTTCTGTCTCGGGTTGATCTTGTAGTATAGGCCAAAACGTGCCCAAGTGTACTCGTTTTTATAGTCATTTTAATGTTTAAGCTACTGTTTCTATAGTCATTGTTCCCCATTGTAGTTACTATTCTAGTGTCTCTGGTTTTTCATTTTTATTTTACTTTAGCAGTGTAAATAGTTTACATATTTTTAATAATTGTAAAGCGCTTAGAGCTGTAGGGTAAGCGCTATAAAAATATGCCTAAATAAATAAATAAATAAATAGTTCTTTTTTGTTGTTGTTTTGTTTCAATCTTCTTAATAGCTGTTAAATTATGAAGCCATGCGTTGAGATTGTGATTGAGAACTTTAGGACACGTGTTGGTCCGCGGATTAAGCGCACTAAAAACTGAAGGAAAAAAAAAATGTTTTTCTTAAAAAATTTAAAATTTGTCACGGAAAGAAAGTCTGTGCAGAAGGGTAGTAAGGCATTCCATGCAGCCAAAGGATTCCATATGAAATGTAGACATTTTTTTCTCTTTCTAATTAAAAAAATACATATTATTTATAATTTAAGAACTTTTACACACATTATTTTTTTCTCCATTTTAGTGCGCTTAAACTCGTCTTTGAAACAAAGTATTTACAAAAAAAAAAATCTTATTTATAAATATATTTTCCTTTCTACTTTGTAGTAAGAAATTTGTAAATTATCCGCAAACAATTAAAAAAAAAAAAAAAGGATGCTCACAAAATCTGGGAAACAGCGACTAAGCTTTTTATTATTTAATCACATTTCCTATTGCCCCGTCACTTTCCACCCCCTTACCTAGAACTAAAATGCTGGAGTTGTACCCATGTTTTATAAACTCACGCGACCTTTCAGGTCAGCACGAGGAAGACTCAATTGAGCGAAAGAAATTGTCTCGTGTGTCAACAACAAAAATTACGCTCCACAAGATGGAAATGCGAGTACTGAGAAAGTCTTCACAAAAACTGAACAATGTTTTCGCCCTATTTCGGCACCATTTTAACGAGTTCGATGAAAAATAACCAACTTAAGAAATGTTTTGAACAAATTTGAAAATAGTTAAATATTAAATAAGCAACGAGTTTCAAAAATAGTATATCTCTGACAACAACACAAGGGAGAAACGTACCCTGGCTCTTCTCTTCACTCCCGCTGAAGACCTTCGAGCTTTGAGAATCCGTGTCCTGGACACCGGGATAATTCAGCTTCCTGCCTTCAGAAGGACGACCCATTCTCCCTAGCCCCATCTTCATCTCTAGGAGCGTGAAGCGAGACTTCGCGGCTTCCGACTTTTTGGCCGATTCCGTAGCATCCGTCTTGCGAGCATCCGGGGTCGAAGTATGAGGCAAACTTACAAGCACATCTTCGTTAGTCGGATCGTTTTGGGGCGACGGGCCTGCGTCAGTCGCAGCTGGTGACTCCCTGTCAGTGGTGTCAGCGTTTTCCACATGAAACATCGAGGAAAACACTGACGCAGGATGGCGTGTTTTCTCCTTTGGTTCTGCGTCAGAGGTCGATCTCATCTGGGCGGCGTTCGTCGTGGGGACCTGCTCAGGCGTCAGAGATTCCTGGCTCTTCTGATAATGACCATCTTTCTGGGGCTCGTGTTTCATTCCGTTTGGGAGAGAGTTCTCGGGTAATTGCAGGAAGTCTTGTCGGTGTCTGTACTCAGACGTGATGTCCAGCTCCACGTAAGCGATTCTGGGAAGTTCCTGTAACATATGAAATGAGCAGTCTCAAAAGGGTTTGTCTTTTAATGGCGGGAATCTATCAAATAGAACATCCGGGCATTCAGTTTGGACAATCTTATTTAATGGTGGAAATATATTAATAGAACATCAGGGCATTCAGTTCGGCCACTCTTATTTTACGGTGGAAATATATTAATAGAACATTCGGGCACTCGGTTTGGCCAATCCATCAACAGCTGTTCCGTACTTCTACGTTAATGTGTGTCATGAAGTAGGCCTTAACCTAGGCCAAAACTTGTTTACAGCTTTATTTTACGAAATATTTTACAAATTGTTACTGATATGTGATATGATTAACCATCAGAGAAAAAAAACAACACACTTTTACTCAAGATGCCATTATGCTGTGTCTAATTATTGATTAATTTTATAATGCGGACTTAAGATGCTAGTATGCTGTGTCTAATTCTTGATTGATTTGCATAACATGGGCTGACGATGCGAGTATGCTGTGTCCGATGATTGTTCACCTACCTCATATTCCGGATAATTGAAAGAACTCGCTGGGTGATTAGGGAACGACGAGGTGATGCTCGATATGGGTTCGTACGGCTCAGTGGCCCAGTTGGGGGACGTAAAGGTCAGACCTCTGTCCGTGCCGCTGTCCATGGGGTGAAGGTCAACCTCTACGTGGTCCTTCCAACGTCCGTTGGCGCAAAGGTCAAGGCCGCTGACCCCGATGAACCAGTCCGGGCTCGGAATAATCTTCATCATGAAGGATATCTGGAGTTTTTGGGGCAAAAAAAAGGGGGGGGGGGGTAAATGGTCATGAGGAGATCGTCACACTTTTTAGGGTTATTTGCGTCTGTCAATTGTGTCTGTCAATTGTGTCTGTCAATTGTGTCTGTCAATTGTGTCTGTCAATTGTGTCTGTCAATTGTGTCTGTCAATTGTGTCTGTCAATTGTGTCTGTCAATTGTGTCTGTCAATTGTGTCTGTCAATTATGTCTGTCTATTGTGTCTGTCAATTGTGTCTGGCAATTATGTCTGTCTATTGTGTCTGTCAATTGTGTCTGTCAATTGTGTCTGTCAATTGTGTCTGTCAATTATGTCTGTCTATTGTGTCTGTCAATTGTGTCTGTCTATTGTGTCTGTCAATTGTGTCTGTCAATTGTGTCTGGCAATTATGTCTGTCTATTATGTCTGTCTATTGTGTCTGTCAATTGTGTCTGGCAATCGTGTCTGTCAATCATGTCTGTCAATTGTGTCTGTCAATTGTGTATGTCAATTGTATCTGTCAATCGTGTCTGTTAATTGTGTCTGTCAATCGTGTCTGCCAATTATGTCTGTCAATCGTGTCTGTCAATTGTGTCTTTCAATTGTGTCTGTCAATTGTATCTGTCAATTGTGTCTGTCAATCGTGTCTGTCAATCGTGTCTGTCAATCATGTCTGTCAATTGTGTCTGTCAATTGTGTATGTCAATTGTATCTGTCAATCGTGTCTGTCAATTGTGTCTATCAGTCGTGTCTGCCCATTGTATCTGTTAATTGTGTCAAACGTTTTTCCAACTGAAGCATCCCCCAAAAAAATTATTTAAAAAATTCAATTAAAAAAAATACAAATGATAAAAAAAAAAGCCTCCATGGCTCCCCTCACATCTCTTATTTGACACCCATCCTTAAATGTAAGACATTCTTTGCCACTAAAGATGGTCATTGTAGAATTGTCATTTGAGTCATACCATTCCTCCTCATCGCTAACTTTGAGATGTTGATGTATTGCTTCTGCCCCGACATAGTATGACATTTCTTGACCCAAATGCCATAGAATCAGTACGCTTTTAACATATATACAATTTTAACCAATGCAAACTATATTATTGTGAACATGGTGTTGATCATTTCGAAAACATTCGAGTGTGGTGTGTAGGGTGATTCAAATTCAGTGGTCTGTGTCAGTTTTAATAGATGAAAATCTGACTTTAAATGAAAGCTTGGCACAGACGGTTAGTGTTTTTATCTATGCGTTAATAAAAAGCTATCCTACCATTCAGAAAAGTATTTTCTTTGTTCTCGGAGGAAAAAAAAAAGTAGAACAGCGCTGAAGTAAATATGTGCAATTATTTGATTGAGACTTAGAAGGAAGGCAGCGCTTTAAAGAGGTACAAAATCTACGTCATCAAGCAAGTTTTAAAAGTTTTTTGTTTGTTTCCGTAGTGTGCCGAAAATGTCAAAAAACAAAAAAGGCCACCACTTTGTGCCAGTCTACTGGCTGACGTGGTTTCCACGCGTTCCTCTGGCATTATCAGCGTATTCGAACACTGACAGTAAACTCACTGTTGGGATGCCAAACACACACACACACACTTATCTAAGAGTATACAAACCCACCCTGGAGTGACGCCCGTCCAGAAAGATAATCGCCGACGTCTGGCCAACACTCTGGGGAATGGGCGGGGCGCTGAAGCTGTCCAGTACTTGCTTGTAGCCCTGGGTCGAGGCGCTGTCTAGTTGATTCATGTCGCCCTGCTCGGCGAAGAGGCGCACTCCTGTTGAGGCGTTGCGGCCCTCCACCCACATTTCAAACTCGGGGCCGTGGGAGCGACCTGTGGATGATGGTTGTGTCGGGATTTTAAAGTAAATTATGGTTGGGAAGGGGTGGATTTGGGGGCTGGGGTGTTATATGCAGTGGCGTAGCTTAAGTTAGTGCCACTCAAGACCGGCGAAGATTTTTTGTGTCCTCCCCACTAGTGCCCACCCCTTTCATTTTTCCCCCACAAAAAACAAAACGCTCTGAAGTTGGCCGAAAGTGCCGCTCCTGAATATAAAACGAAATGTGCGCCTTGGGCGGACATCCCTACCTTCCTAAGGGGCGCCACTGATTGTACGTTAAAGTTATCGTTCTGTTAGTTGGTCAATAATTATTAAACTTCACCAAAAGACGTTGATCTTAGAAAGTTTTGTCAATATCAGATATAAGTACATTGGTCAATACAGTTAATAGATTCTACCCGCCCCCCTCCACCAATAAAAAGAAAGTCAAATAAGAATAAAAATGCCCCACAAGATCCTTATTTATGTTTAAAGTGACTGCTCCCGAATCGTAGGTATGTTTAAAGTGACTGCTCCCGAATCGTAGGTATATTTAAAGTGACTGCTCCCGAATCGTAGGTATGTTTAAAGTGACTGCTCCCGAATCGTAGGTATGTTTAAAGTGACTGCTCCCGAATCGTAGGTATGTTTAAAGTGACTGCTCCCGAATCGTAGGTATGTTTAAAGTGACTGCTCCCGAATCGGAGGTATGTTTAAAGTGACTGTTCCCGAATCGTAGGTATGTTTAAAGTGACTGCTCCCGAATCGTAGGTATGTTTAAAGTGACTGCTCCCGAATCGTAGGTATGTTTAAAGTGACTGCTCCCGAATCGTAGGTATGTTTAAAGTGACTGCTCCCGAATCGTAGGTATGTTTAAAGTGACTGCTCCCGAATCGTAGGTATGTTTAAAGTGACTGCTCCCGAATCGTAGGTATGTTTAAAGTGACTGCTCCCGAATCGTAGGTATGTTTAAAGTGACTGCTCCCGAATCGTAGGTATGTTTAAAGTGACTGCTCCCGAATCGTAGGTATGTTTAAAGTGACTGCTCCCGAATCGTAGGTATGTTTAAAGTGACTGCTCCCGAATCGTAGGTATGTTTAAAGTGACTGCTCCCGAATCGTAGGTATGTTTAAAGTGACTGCTCCCGAATCGTAGGTATGTTTAAAGTGACTGCTCCCGAATCGTAGGTATGTTTAAAGTGACTGCTCCCGAATCGTAGGTATGTTTAAAAGTTCGTGGTCAACAAGGGACACTGTAATGTGTGTGTGGGTTGGTTGGTCATCAGTTTCCTGGAGCAAGAGTCACCAGTTTCCTGGAGCAGGAGTTACCAGTTTCCTGGAGCAGGAGCCACCAGGTTCATGGAGTAGGAGTTACCAGTTTCCTGGAGCAGGAGCCACCAGGTTCATGGAGCAGGAGTTACCAGTTTCATGGAGCAGGAGTTTCCAGTTTTCTGGCGCAGGAGCCACCAGTTTCATGGAGCTGGAGTTACCAGTTTCTTTTTTTTTTTTTTTTTTACCGATCTTCTGAAAGTCATGTTTGACCCATTTATGTATTGACTAACAGAAATAAAGGAACTCTTTTATTCACCGTTCTGCACTACCAACTATTTTTTGTTCAATAAACATATCATGAAATCTCAGACATGACATCCAAAGTTCCCGGTGAACACCTACAAATCTCCACCTGCCGATGTGTAGACAAAGACACCACAAAACCCACGTGCGACTCCGATGTTACAAATGGGCTCCATTTACTCATCCGCTGTGAACGTGTTATGTTTATAGAACAAGGGAACCCACCAAAAGTCTTAACGATCATCCTGACCTATAAACATCGCCAGAGCTCTCTGATGATGCTCTTTCCCCCTTCCACCCCCCCTCTTTACCTTCCTTCAGGATACGAACGGTTAGGAAATGAAGATAAAATCTTGACTACGGTAAATTTCGCAAAACATAGAGAAAATATTGATTTGGAATAATGCCCGTGGGAGACTTAGGGCCACGAGGGCTTTAAAAGAAAACGACAGGCAAGAAATGGAGGTGTAGCTGCAGTGCTGGTTTATGAGAGGTGGTGGTGGTGGGCGGGGGGGGGGACGGGACATGTTAGGGTGCCACTTAAGTGCGCCAACAAGTTCAGGGCTGAGTGCGCCAAGGATGCTAAGGTCGGCACTGGCCCACGGGCGCTTAACATCACTTTGATTTCCGGACAAAATAATAATTTTTGTTTCCTTTCTTTGGATAACAAAAGATTAACAAACCTATGTCACACTTTTTACCTTTCCGTGGATCATTTTTGTGGAGTTTGTCTCTGCGAGATTCAGAAAACCTCATGTGGTGATATTAACAAAACGAAGTGGTACGCATAGCCGCTAGTCAGATCCGGTGCCCTTTAGACTAAATCCCATTCAGATGTCATTTGTGGTAGTTTATTCTAGTTAAACTGGTGAAGTAAGTTTACAAACATATGGTCCATTCAATTATCTTTCATTTGATACCTCATTTTGTCTTTCAAACCCAACATTAATATTTGAAATAGTTTTTTAATCCCAACCTCTCACTTCTGATACCCGGGTGCGAATAGTCGCAGCTTTAACCAAAAATTTTTCTTTTACACATAATGACTTTTGTTTCTGAAAGCTTCAGATATTAATCTTAAGGTTAAACTCTTAGCCAATGTCCTCTCTTAGTGAAAGATTCAGACATTAATCTTAAGGTTAAACTCTTAGCCAATGTCCTCTCTTACTGAAAGATTCAGACGTTAGTCTTAAGGTTCCACTCCCAGCCAATGTCCTCTGTTACTAAAAGATTCAGACATTAATCTTAAGGTTCCACTCCTAGCCAATGTCTTCTGTTACAGAAAGATTCAGACATTTATCAAAAGGTTCCTTTCCTAGCCAATGTCCTCTCTTACTGAAAGATTCAGACATTAATCTTATGGTTCTACTCCTAGCCAATGTCCTCTGTTACTGAAAGATTCAGACATTAATCTTAAGGTTACACTCTTACCCAATGTTCTCTCTTACTGAAAGATTCAGACATTAATCTTAAGATTACACTCTTAGCCAATGTCTTCTGACACTGAAAAAAACAGAAATTAATAATAAGGTTCCACTGTTAGCCAATGTCTTCTGTTACAGAAAGATTCAGACATTTATCAAAAGGCTCCACGCTTAGCCAATGTCATCTGACACTGAGACACGAGACATTAAACAAAAGGTTCAACTCGTTTGTTGTCCAACCAGAAGGGGTAAAAGGTGCTTGCCCGGAAAGGTTTGCATGCTGCTGCTTTAGTAAGCGCATTGGCAAGTCGAGGTACGTCTGTTACTAAGAGATTCAGACATTAAACAAAAGGTTTGATAATGTTTTCTGTTACGCAATGCTATCAATCAACAGCACGCTCAGCATTTGTGAAACTTGAGTTACGCCGAGCACGGGGCCTGCAACATATCCCCCACATCTGCGAAATGCCAGGTTTCGCAACTACGTGTACATATTTGCCATCTCCTGTCGGTCACACGTGGTCGCACCTGTTTTAGGTCACATGTTGCAGCCTCAGGCGCATGTTTGAGTTTGATGTCAAATCGCTTTGCGGGAGCTGGAATTAGCGTCACTTTATGTAAATGCCGGGTCGTTTTGCTCCGGAAAAAATAACTGAATCGAACATTAGATTTTAAATACAAGATATTTTTGGGGTAAAATCGCTTTGTAGATAAGCTCTTCTTTTTACAAAGCCGTAGAAAAAAAGGAAGAGACAAGTCTCTAGTCCAGGCCTGCACAACTCAAAATGTTGGCGGACCGTAATGCATTATGAAAAACTTGTGCGGGCCAAAAGAAAATAGGACAGGACGTGCGGGCAAAAAAAAAAATATAGGTCAGGGGGGGAGCTGTTAAGAAAATAATAAGAATAACGAGTTTTTCGTTATCTTGCGGACCGCAAAGTGGATGCTGGAGGGCCACATGCGGCCCGCGGGCCGTATGTTGTGCATGCCTGCTCTAGTCAATTACCCATTAACGTACTCTGGGGCCCTACTTGAAGTCGAATATGACTGAAATATTTGTGTCATGTGACGCATTTTCGGACAAGGGTCCTCAAATGTATTAAACGGGTGGCCAGTTTACTGTCCTTAAGACACTTTGGGGGCCGGTTCACTGTCTTTCAGACACTGTTGTGGGCCGGCCTAGGATTGAATGCACATATCTTATTTGCAGCGGGTTAAAAAAAATATAAATCAATGCACTATTTAAATAAAGAACACGTGAATCAACATCAACTTATTTATACTTCAATGGCAAGCATGGTCTTTCTTTTAGCTGAAGAGATGGTCAACGTCCGGTTCCAAATTTGTATCTGCAACCCGGCTTCACATTAGGCGGCTAGGCGGGCCGGGTTAAGGACCCATGTGAGCCGGATTTTGCCCGCGGGTCGTAGTTTGAGGACCCCTGTTTTAAGGGATCCATTCTCGAGCATCTATTTTTCACTGTATGCCAAAGCCAAACGTAAGTGTCATTATGGCATTACGAAACTTATTTATTTTAATTGTAAAAAAAAACAACTGACTATGAGAACTTTTCTTTGCAACGGAACCAGGCTCAAATACACGAATGCTGCTCAAAGTAAGGTGTAACAGTTATAGGCAGGGCTGATGGGAATAATTATTCTATAACTGTTAAGGAAGATAAAAAAAAACACGCACAGCGCTGACAAAATATTACTAGAGCCATATAGACTAAAATTATGTTGGAAAATCTGGCGGGTGATTAGTTTTATTGGCTAATTACAAGAAAATAGCACGACCCCACTTCCTACATTTTTAAAAAAAAAATATCGGTGAGCTTGTACCTTATTGAAATGTAGCCACGATAATATTTAGACAGGTTCATGATGGCCTTTGCCCAAACACTGGCACCGAGCCACGATTTCTGGCTCATTAGCGAAGATGGCTGTGGGGGGAAAAAAACCTGATTTTGAGGCTAAAGTTCTTGTACCCTAAAGCTGGCCTGCAGAACTCAAAACGTAAGGCGGGCCGCAATACTTTATGAAAATCTTGCGTGGGACCAAAAGAGAATTGGACAGGGGCGAAAGCTATTAAGAATATAAAAGAATAAAGAACATTTCGTTACTTCGCGGGCCGCAAAGTGGGTGCTGGCGGGCCGTATGTTGTGCAGACCTGTCCTAACGGGTTACCGGAAATGTGTATGAAAGAAATTTGGTCGAAGAAAAATTGATCGACGGAAGTTTGGTCGCACGCAAATTTGGTCGAGCGGAACTTTGGTCGAACAGATATTCGGTCAAATTAATTGTTCTATTATTATTTCTTGTGTGTTGTTTTGCTAAGACTTAGGGGTAAAAGTTAAAAATGGGGAGATTTGTAAGGTAGGAAGTTTGTTCGAACGGAGTTGTGTTCATAATTTTTTGGTTTTTCAACTGAAGGGGGTTGACCTTTTGCTGCCGGGGTTCAATAATTCAATGAAGCGTGATACGAAATATAATGAGGAGAGTCACATGTACTTAATCCTGTTCATTATCTCATTCACTTCAAGTTTGGAGCAATCAGTTGCATGATTACGTTATTTGCTTTCTTTAGTTACTGCACAATTAGCAGCTTCAGCACTGTTAGCAGTTACAGCACTGTTAGCAGTTACAGCACTTTTAGTAGTTACAGCCCTATTAGCACTTTCAGCACTATTAGTAGTTAAAGCACATCAGCAGTTACATCACTATCAGCAGTTACAGCCCTATTAGCATTTTCAGCACTGTTAGCAGTTACAGCACTGTTAGCAGTTACAGCACTTTTAATAGTTACAGCACTATTAGCAGTTACAATTCGATATTAACTCGAACTTTTTTTGAAAATTTTAACAAAGTTTTTCCTATTTTAAAAAAAACAACGCTTTTTCTCTTTCTTCACATACACGTAGCATGAACTTCGCGCACATATAACAATTAACTTCCCGTACATGTAGCCATGAACTTCGCGTACATATAACAATTAACTTCCCGTACATGTAGCCATGAACTTCGCGTACATATAACAATTAACTTCCCGTACATGTAGCCATCAAATTCTAGTTATTTTTTATTGTTTGTGTGCTTTTAACAAATGTCATTTGGAATTATTGCCCTTCATCATCGGGTTGATGCCATTAATTTTTGTGTATAAATCCGCCATATGCATTTTTGTGTACATTTATGTAATTACGCGATTGATCATTTGTGTGATTGCAGCAACTGAGTTTTCGGTATGGAAATGTTTTTTTTTATCAAACTTAGTGCAATAAAAAAAACTAACAAATTAAAGATATATTTAAACTCAAATACGTCACAAATACAAAGCACATAACAAGAGCTACACAATTAATCTCCACAACAAAACATGCACCCATTGAACTAATCCTATTTTATTCATCTTCCCCTTGAAAAACAGGAAAACTGATTCGCGGGGGTTGGGTGGTGGGTAGGTCTGGACATTTGCTAGATTGTGTTGTCGTCGACAACAAGTCTATGTAACAAGTTTCAGTTCGATAGGATGGTGGGAAGTGGTTCGATTAGCCATACTAACATTAAACAAAATTGGGGAAAAAAATACTTTTGTACAAATTTCCGTTCAACCGAATTTCCACTTAATCAATTTTCAGTCGACCAAATTTCTTTCAAATAAATTTCCAGGTACGACCCTAAAGCACCCCCCCCCCCCCCCCCCACCATAAACAAAATTGGGGAAAAAAATACTTTTTTACAAATTTCCGTTCAACCGAATTTCCACTTAATCAATTTTCAGTCGACCAAATTTCTTTCAAATAAATTTCCAGGTACGACCCTAAAGCACCCCCCCCCCCCGGCCCGACCGGCATATTGATATCGGTCAATGAGGGCTTGTGTCAGTCTCAGGGTTGCAATCATATCCAAATTTACGGACAAATAATCTAAGTCTCCACAATTGCCACGGACACGTTTTTAAAATAAGGTTTCCAAAACTATGAATCAAATGTCCAATCATTTTATGACTCTTTTTGTCACCATGTCAAATATCTGTATGACTATATTTCTATGTCATGTGGCATACATCATGTTTTCGATCGTTCGTTAAAAATGTGTGACACTCTCACCAGCGTTGAAGTTCTCCTGATTAGGCAAGGGTTCTTAACCTTTCCCAACGCTGCACTGCCCGCTCTCCTTCTTGATTTCAAAACATATTCCCCACACCCCCTGACACTAAATCCGCCATACCCAGGGGGTGGGGGAACCCCCTGGTTTAAAAAAAACCAAAAAAAAAAAAACAACAACAAACAAGCAAGGAAAAAAAAACCCATTAACGATAAGATTTGCAGTTTTATTTACTTCAAAAACTCCTGATTAGGCAAGGGTTCTTAACCTTTCCCAACGCTGCACTGCCCGCTCTCCTTCTTGATTTCAAAACATATTCCCCACACCCCCTGACACTAAACCCGCCATACCCAGGGGGTGGGGGAACCCCCTGGTTTAAAAAAAAAACCAAAAAAAAAAAAACAACAACAAACAAGCAAGGAAAAAAAAACCCATTAACGATGAGATTTGCAGTTTTATTTACTTCAAAAGATTGGTATCCGATGTCTCATTCTATCACAGATATCCTAGAATTCCTACACATTTTAGTTTAGACTATAGTTAATTTTCGACACAAATTCTTATGGACTGTTCGTATATTTTCGGAGGTTTGGCAACACTGTTCGGAGAGGGTCGGAATGAGCAACTGAAAATATTAAGTTTCGCCGTTATTTTTTATAAATAAATACTTACATGGATTATGTGTTGGGCGTGTATTTGACTTAATGTATCAATTATTCTAGAGATAGATTTAGCCTATCGGTTAATGGAAGATATTTACCGCACACATATATCCAATCAACGGGTCAATCTGTGATTTTCGTGTCATATTTATTTACCTAGCACTATAATATACCAATGCATCATTTCTAAAAACAAACAACAATGCAATAGCCCAAGAGGCAGATGTGTTATACCTAGGATGTAACTGATGTATTGGAGTTAAAAAGCATGAGATAGCTGCAGTATAAAGGGAATTACCTGTACAAATTCAGAGATATTTTTTATTACGTTTTCACTATTTAAGTTGTTTTTATAATTTTTTTCACAAAAGGATGATATTGTTGGACATATTGGAGTCAAATAGACAATAGAAGAATACTAATAACTTTTTTTAACACGATGAAAATTATATATTTTTTAAATCCTTAATATTGACTTCGCTTTTTTTTGTCATAGTATACATAGGGCAAACTGTTGGGACGGCTAATTGACCCATTTCCAACCAAACCTATCGTGATGAAAGTGGCACATAGACTCGTTGCCGAAGACAAAATATTCTATCAAATTTAAAGCCCCACCCCCTAACTCCAACTTCCAAAAATAAATTTTTTACTGTTGTTCAAGGGGAATATGAAGGAAATATGATGCCGCCAATTTCATGAAATAAAATTAACTGCGCTAAATGAGATTTACAAAAAAAAAATAAAAAAAATAATGAAATATCGCAAGTGCGTTTGGTGCGTTATATTTTCTTTTCCTTTTCTGAAATAGTTGGTGAAATAGTTGGTGAAATAGTTGGTGAAATAGTTGGTGAAATAGTTGGTGAAATAAATTTGCGGTGTAAAAGCGGGTGGGAAATTTAATTAGAATATTAATATAAAATAAAATAGTTAAAAAATGCATATAAATGAGTTATGCGAAAAACTTCGCGTTTTTAGGGGTTGCTTAATTTTTTTTCTAGCTGCCCCTTCTATGCTAAAATGTGAAATAATTCCAAATTTGCTTACCAACCAACGTCGACCACTGGGCGTGAGGTCTGTACGTGGGGAACATTTTGGGAAACACCGTCTTTGACCACAGCGCATGCAGAGTCAGTCGGTACCTGACCATGGAGTTTGGCCGGCAGGTGGCCTGGGTCCTCTTGGTCCGTCGGGGTTTCTTCTTGCTGCCGTCGCAGTGCAGCGTGAGAGCCATTAAGGCTAACATCACGATCACCATCTTCAGATCCATCGCTGCAATGTTCTATCTATAAAACGGCTTTTGAACAGCTTTTTTTTTTTTGTTTTTTTAGTTTTCAGATTTTCTTGTAACGGTCTGAGTTGTCCTCCCGCGACAAGATATTGGCGTGACGGAGAACGTCAAGCCGATAAATCAAAGACTGGAACAGGTGATTCACTTAGAGGAAATTCAAAGCGATGTTCAAATTTAATCTTGAAATATTTCTTTAAAAAAAAAAAACAACCCAAAAAACAATTCAAGTAGTTTCTAGTAGTGAGCCTTAAAACCGATAGTGTTAATGTTACTAGGATTGAGAAAGTTCATTCCAACAAACACTGTTCCATGGAGAAAATTCACATCCGCTGGCCGTGCCGATGACACTACTATCGGGCGCTCCAAGATTCTCAGAGTTCCAATGCATGTAATACCGTTGGTGTACTCGCACTGGGACGTTGTGGCCAGACGTCGGCCGCGAACGGTCTTTTTATTTCACCGTGAACCGGAAAACCCACCACCCTGGGCCGAGTGACTTGATGGATTACTGCGGAGTATGATATGCGAGCCGCATAAACAGCAATAATGGACGAGACGGCGAGCTCTGCCAACTAGATAAAGACATAGATTTGATTTCGCCCGACTTCAGTTCTACATCTGCGAACCCGTGGAACTCACGCAGGTAAACACTGCCGGGTCGTCAGCCGGAGGAGATTTCGAATGTTTAGGGCCGGTGGAAAAAAAAACAACAACCCGGTATAGCGCTTTAACTCCCTCCTCCCCACCGCCCGATCCACCCCACCTCCACCGCCAACTTCTCTAGCTTCCAATGGGCTCGTATATATGACACCCCCTTACACCCCCCACCAGGTTTCATCGAGACAAAGAGAGTTACGTTGATGACCTCCAATGCGTCTGATCCTCCAGGTAACTGAAATCCCAGGTAGTGTCGACCCCAGGTAGATGAGTCCAGGTCGACGGAGTTCTAGAAAGTGGATTAATTTTTTAAAGTTTTTTTTTCCCCACTGAAAATTTTAAAATTATTAAAAAAAAGTTTATTTGTGAGATTTTTAAACCGAAGCCGGTAAATGAAAGAGTGTGTTTGGGTTTGATAAGCTGAACTACATTTACCTCGATAAATGTGCCTGTGTGTGTGTGTGTGCCTACGTCACGTTGATGGGGAGGTACAATACAGTGACGCGGCAAAACGCGGGAATAGAACTACTACTGATAGCAGGGATGTAACAACCACGCTCTTGATCATTATACTCAAACCCTTTGACCCAGTGGCGTATCAATGGGATGCGGGGGGCTGGGGGGTGTGGTCCTTTATAATCAAGGGTGGCACTTTCGGTCAGATAAACAGTTTTTTTTCACGGAAGTGGAGCGGCAAAGTTCTCGCTCCACTCCGGGGCGGCGCTAACCGTAAGGCGGCGCCACTGTTATTCTTTATATTGATGGGAGGCTTTTTCCAGCAGATTCAGAATTTATTTCGTGGAAGTGGGGGGGGGGGAAAGCTTGGCCCACCCCGGGGGGCACTTACCCTAGCTACGACACTGCTGGATGTGCTTAAATGACGGTTATTTTCCCCTAATCCTTGACCAACTTCCCGTGACAGAATATCTTAGCTAGAACACTGACCCCCAACAAGCGTTTTCCAGCAGATTCAGAATTTATTTCGTGGAAGTGGGGGGGGGGGAAAGCTTGGCCCACCCCGGGTGGCACTTACCCTAGCTACGACACTGCTGGATGTGCTTAAATGACGGTTATTTTCGCCTAATCCTTGACCAACTTCCCGTGACAGAATATCTTAGCTAGAACACTGACCCCCAACATTGGGGACACCACTTTCAAAGAAAGAGCACAGCAAAGAACAACATGCATGCACATTGCTACATTCTACCCGAGGGACACACAAACCACTGACATCGGTGCTAGTTGGTGGGAGCCCCAAACACGTTAAGGAGAACAGAATTTTTTTTTTTAACGAACATAACCGCAAGTGAGAACTTATTCGAAACATGTTGAAGCCACAAAGAAAAGATAACTCCCAGACACAACATAAAATAAAACTACCCGTATCAAAATTCTTTGATGATGTGTTATTTTATCTGTCTGATTGACATCTTATGTTGGAGTCGGGTTTCAAGTTTCAACACAAAGACTGGGAACATATGGTCCGGACCTGGCTGGTGGGAACAGAATCTTCAATTTCAACACACGCAAAGGGAAAAAAATTGAAATAAATGTATTCGCTCTATTCGCAAATCGCCTCTCTTTCTCGTGGGAGTCAAAGAAACGAAACCGAAAACGTCTGCTCGAAGCACTTCACCAGATTCGGATAGAATAACTCCGAATCCAAAATGCAATACCGATTTATAAATAATTGCAATGATGCCAAGTAAATTAAATTGATCCGGACTTTCTTTTGAATTTTCTTCAAAAGCTTGAATTTATTAAAACAAATGTAAGTCTCGATTCTTGCTAAAAAAAATTTCCGACTCAATTAGTACGATTCCGACTCCACAGTCAAGGAGGCATCAAAAGCTAAAAGAAAGAGCATCACGCAAGCTCCCAATGTCTTTAGTGATCCAATTTTATCGTACAATCTTTCGATAGCAGGTAGATAATTTTAAATTATAACATCTACCGTTTCAAGGCCCCTGCAAGTTAAACCTAGGTCAGTGTACTGAACTGATTGGCCTACTCTCTAACTAGGCTTTGAAAAGGGTTTCTAAAGTACGGAGCAGGACACAATATGATGACTGCTTAGAGATTATGAAATATCAAAAAAGAAACTCAAGAAATGTACAAGCACATACACGCTGCAGCGTCCTGCATGACAGTCAGCTAACTGAGCCATTTACAGTTTAGTGTCAGATGTGCGGCAGAGTCGAATACTGTCATCACTTCTCTTCGTACTGCAATGGCCAGTGACGTGATCATTCGAAGTTCAATCGGAGATCTGAAGTCAGAAATGCAGTGGCCCCTCTTTCAGACAACTGGAAGATTTGGACTTTGCAGACGACCTTAATTTACTCAAATGCAAATAAAAACATTAAAGTTCAATGAGATAACTAATTAGTTGTAATAACTATCAATGTCCAAAAAAAAATATAAGATAAGATAAGATTCTTTTATTGATCCAAATAAATTGAAATGTTTTTTGAAAAACAATTTGAACACAAGACATTTATAATAAATTATCTCAAACAGCCATTCAGTGAGTTCTCTTAGCCAAATCGGGGACTTATTAGTTCTCATGAAGATGTGTGACTTCAGAGGGAGCACGCCGGTAAATTCGTACAGATTGGGGAACAAAAGAAATTGTATATCTTTCAGTCCTCGCCCTGATGGAAAAAATTCGCCCCGAACGGCCCGATCCTAAGTATTTGTGATGAAGAGGGTGGGATGTATCATCCAAAATGTGTTTAGTTTTACAAAAACATCTTTCTTCAAATAGTTCTTGGAGTGAAGGATTTTTAGTTTGTGTTATGTTCCTAGTTTTCTTGATTAGTTGGTTTATGCGGTGTTAAATATCAGGCGTTGAATTCTCACACCAGCAGGTAATATTGAAATTAAGTAGGCTTCCAATTGTTGCACTGTAGAATAAGTTAATGACTTGCTAGTTTACGCCGAAATTGTACAGTTTTTTGAGGTAGAACAGTCTTTGCTTGAATTTCTTATACAGCATTTGGTCGTGCTCATGCCCTGTTAGTTTATTATTAATGGTGACACTTAAGTACTTGTATGCCTACACTTTCTCTACACTTTGATTTTTTTATGTTGAGATCTGTAATCTGGTGTTTCCCCCTCCTGAAATCAACAACCATTTCCTGTTTTTGAGAAATTCAGCTGGAGCAAATTTTCAACGCACCAATTAATAAAGCTTTTAATTAAATTGCGGTAGGGGCCTTCTCCTTCAGATATTAAGCCAACAATGGTGCTATCATCAGCACATTTTAAGATTGGAATTTAAGAATAACACAGCCAACTATATCGCAGCAGTCCGATTTACATGATCGACTTTATTGTTTACTTGACTAAAAACTAGGCTCTAAAAATATCTTTGAGTTTTTACTATTCTTCAATATCAGAATGCTATGTCTTCTTTTCATTTATTAAATATAGTTACCCCGAGAGCCGTCGCGTGGGGGCCTACAACCCTTTGCCTTGGATATAAAAATGGCCCTAAAAGTGTGATTCGAAAAAAAAAAGATCAGCCTTTAATACTGGAAGTAAAAAAAACGAAAAAATGTCAGGGGCCTCCAAAAATGACGCGACGGCTCTGGTTACCTCTCAGAATTTGCTACATTGCATTTCAACTTTCTATAAGCTAAGTTCTTTATTATTTTGTCTCCACCATTTGACTTGTCATGTTGTGTTGTCTCCACTATTTGACTTGTCAGGTTGAGTTGTCTCCACCATTTGACTTGTCATGTTGAGTTGTCTCCACCATTTGACTTGTCATGTTGTGTTGTCTCCACTATTTGACTTGTCATGTTGTGTTGTCTCCACTATTTGACTTGTCATGTTGTGTTGTCTCCACTATTTGACTTGTCATGTTGAGTTGTCTCCACCATTTGACTTGTCATGTTGTGTTGTCTCCACCATTTGACTTGTCATGTTGAGTTGTCTCCACCATTTGACTTGTCATGTTGAGTTGTCTCCACCATTTGACTTGTCATGTTGAGTTGTCTCCACCATTTGACTTGTCATGTTGAGTTGTCTCCACCATTTGACTTGTCATGTTGTGTTGTCTCCACCATTTGACTTGTCATGTTGAGTTGTCTCCACCATTTGACTTGTCATGTTGAGTTTTCTCCACCATTTGACTTGTAATGTTGTATTGTCTCCACTATTTGACTTGTCATGTTGTGTTGTCTCCACTATTTGACTTGTCATGTTGTGTTGTCTCCACTATTTGACTTGTCATGTTGAGTTGTCTCCACCATTTGACTTGTCATGTTGTGTTGTCTCCACTATTTGACTTGTCATGTTGAGTTGTCTCCACCATTTGACTTGTCATGTTGTGTTGTCTCCACTACTTGACTTGTCATGTTGTGTTGTCTCCACTATTTGACTTGTCATGTTGTGTTGTCTCCACCATTTGACTTGTCATGTTGTGTTGTCTCCACCATTTGACTTGTCATGTTGAGTTGTCTCCACCATTTGACTTGTCATGTTGAGTTGTCTCCACCATTTGACTTGTCATGTTGTGTTGTCTCCACCATTTGACTTGTCATGTTGTGTTGTCTCCACCATTTGACTTGTCATGTTGAGTTGTCTCCACCATTTGACTTGTCATGTTGAGTTGTCTCCACCATTTGACTTGTCATGTTGTGTTGTCTCCACCATTTGACTTGTCATGTTGTGTTGTCTCCACCATTTGACTTGTCATGTTGAGTTGTCTCCACCATTTGACTTGTCATGTTGAGTTGTCTCCACCATTTGACTTGTCATGTTGTGTTGTCTCCACCATTTGACTTGTCATGTTGTGTTGTCTCCACCATTTGACTTGTCATGTTGTGTTGTCTCCACCATTTGACTTGTCATGTTGTGTTGTCTCCACCATTTGACTTGTCATGTTCTGTTGTCTCCACTATTTGACTTGTCATGTTGTGTTGTCTCCACTATTTGACTTGTCATGTTGTGTTGTCTCCACTATTTGACTTGTCATGTTGTGTTGTCTCCACTATTTGACTTGTCATGTTGTGTTGTCTCCACCATTTGACTTGTCATGTTGTGTTGTCTCCACCATTTGACTTGTCATGTTCTGTTGTC